ACAGATATTTGTAGCTGGAGCTGATCTCCAGTCCCGCTGGGGCCCGCTCAGACCCAAGTAAACACAGAGACTTATATTACTTATAAACTGTATGGCCATGGCAGGTTTCTTGCTATCTAACTCTTACATCTTAAATTAACCCATTTCTATTAATCTATACCTTGCCACGTGGTTCGTGGCTTACCCGTATCTTTACATGTGGCTTCTTCTGGCGGCAGCTGGCAGTGTCTCCTGACTCAGCCTTCCACTTCCCGCAGTTCTCCTTGTCTGTTTATCCCACCTATACTTCCTGCCTGGCTACTGGCCAATCAACATTTTATTTATCGATCAATCAGAGCAACACATTCACAGCATACAGAACATCCCACAGCAGAAATTTGTGCTCATTACTACCTCTCCTAAGAGAATAATAGTCCTAAGACGACATGCACTAAGTCTAGTATAGTCATTCTTGTGTTTTCTAAGCCTAGAAAAATATCCAACATAAAGTAGTTTCTCAATGGATATTTTTTTTTTGCACTGCTAGTTATTAAACATAATGAGGCAGAATCCTCGGCCCCAACCCCCTTTTTATTTTTTATTTTGAGACTGACTAAACTGCCCTTGAGGCCTTGAACTCAGTCCACAACCCAGACAGGTTTTGAATGTGGCCATTGTTATGCCCAGATCGCAGGGACCTCCAAAAGACCACCACAGAGACCGAATCCTATATGTAAAAGTGAAGAGCCTTTATTTTCAAGCTCCAAGCTTGGTATCTCTGTCTGTCTGACACAGTGGTAAGAGCAGAGAGCCCTTAAGCTCAGGCACAGTGGGGTTTTTATCATAGCAGAGGTTGGAGTGAGGGGATTCCCAGGATTCAGGACCCTGATTGGCTGACATTTGACTAGGTGTATCTATAAAACAGAAATAGGTGTGTGCTAGACTCAGGGACATCTGGCCATCTTATCTAATCTTATCTAATGGTTGAAATGTTTGGGATGTCAGGTACTTCCCCTTAGATATAAGCCCTCCCTGGGTGGGGTCAGCTTATTACTTTTCCTGGGTCTGTTTCCTGCCAGTAAGCCTGTCACAGAAGCTGCGTCTGGGCCTCCAAGCCTGTCATGGCAGCTGTGTGGTGAAGCTGTTTGGGAACCCACAGCCATCCTGCTGCCTCAGATTGCTGAGTACCTGGGGTTACAGGCCTATACCATCAGGCAACATCTTTTTCATTAGTGTACATTAATTGTACAAGACAATTCGTTTTGTTATAACATTTTTATACCTGCATATTATATCCTTTTATCAAATTCGACTCTTCTTACCTTCTCAGTCCTCCTCTCTTTCCCCTCTAATGAATAATGTTAGGAATTATATGCAGCAGGACCCCCAGATGCAGCGGTGGGCTGGCAGGTGGCCCAGTCCATGTGGGCATGGCAGCAGGGTGGCGGGTAGAGATACATAACCTAGACACTGCATCCGCATGGAAATGGTTTATTATAATAGAGAGATGAAGAGGCACAAAGACAGAAAGAGAGAGACAGACAGAGGGGGGGAAGAGAGGGGAAAGAGAGGGATAGCGGGGGCAAGGGGTTCAAGAGGTTCGCACCTAGTGGGAGGAAAATGGAAGAGAGAGAGAAGAGAGAGGAATGGGTGGAGTTTTCCTTTAAGAATAGGCTTCTATGTCAAGGCATAAGGTGGCACCAAAGAGTGGGATCAGAATATTAACATTTCTCCATTTTCAATTATATAAAAAGGAGGTGAGTTATGGGAGCCAGTAGGGAAACAAGGGTGCTGAATTCTCAAGGCTACTTCAAGCTGATGAGGGGCGAAGTGGGGAGGGGGAACCCAGGAGTCACACATGGCAAGGCGCATGAGTGAAGAAGCATCCAGTTAGCTGTCATTGTGGAGATCTCATGTGTCTGTTTCTTGAGTGAGCAGAGGGGGCAGGTTACAGCAGTGAACTGAGGAGTGTGTTCTTCAGGATTGTAGGAGCCATCACATCTGCCATTTCTCTGGAGGTGGGGGTGCATCCATCTCAGTTGGTGTCCTTGGTTGGGGGTTGGCCTATCTGGAGAGCCCCTTGGTTCATACATGGGAGGAAAACTGCAAAATATTCTCAAAAATAGATGAGATTAAAATGGGCTCTGGAGACTGTTAATTTTTATCAGACCAGATTTTTTGATGCAGTAGAACTTTTCCCAGGGACCTGTAGGTATCTGTAAGACAGCTGGAATAGATTTACATCATAGCAAAAAGGGTTGAAAATCCATAGAGATTTAAGAGTCTTAAGAACTGTTTGTAGTCAATGTTCTATCGGTTTATCAAAGCTGCATTTATAAGTATTAAAACTTTGAACCTCTGGAGTTATATCTGAAATCGGTCTGTCCTGTACCATGAAGTCTGGGGATGAGGCATTATAGCTGAAGTTTTTTTCTGGTCTTGCCCAGCACTACAGACTCCGCAGCCACTTATTAAAAATAATCACTCAGAAGCTTGTATTAATTAAAACTGCTCAGCCATTAGTTCAGGCCTACCACTAACTAGCTCTTACATTTAAACTCAGCCCATTTCTGTTGATCTATATGTTGTCATGTGTTCCGTCACTTTACCTGTGTGCTGGTACATGCTGCTCCCTCAATGGCGGGCTAGCGTCTACTTACTCAGCCTTCTGTTCCCAGAATTCTCCTTGTCTGTTTACCCTGCCTATACTTCCTGTCTGGCTACTGGCCAATCAGCCTTTTGTTTATCAACCAATCAGAGCAACACACTCACAGCATCTAGAACACCCCACAGCAAGGCTTATCTTTATATGGAAACTTATTAATGGACTGTCAGTAATCTTGGGATTGGGGTTGTCAAACTGATACACTCTAGTCATCAAACATTGTCAGACCTGAGAAGGATAAATTTAAAAAGTGAGACAGCTACCTGGGCAGCAATCCTAAGTTTCTCTGTGGTCGTTGGCGTCTTGTACAGAAGCCCAGAAGACAGCACTTGTTCAGATAATAGGCCCAGAAGATCTGACAGATTTTTTTCTGTGGAGTAGAAATTTGGGGAGACTGTCCCACCTTGACTTTGCAGTGTGGGGCAATCGGTCCTCCACTGTTACACCTATTCACAGTCTGGACAGGATCCCAACATGTCACTGCATGGCGGGCCTTGCCATAAGTTTCCAGGTGAAGGTTCTGTGGCCATCCATCTTCTTGGAGAAGTTACAAGATGCTGCTGCCAGGAGCTAACATGTCTCTTTGCCACAAAAAAGCTTTTATATTAAATGCCATATTCTCAGATCTCTACAGGTGTTTGAGGACTGGGGAACAAAATCTGCTAGATGTATTTATAATTTTGAGAGCATAAATCTGAATATACAGGTTTCCCAGTTAGTTACAGCTTAATAAAGTTAGCAGGGGCAAGGGGGCTAACTTTCTTAAGCCTGAATAGACCTTGAGTGAGGAGAGACATTCTATAAGCTGTTGGCAGTGGTATCTGAATCTATTACAATTTTTCAGGCCCTGTAGCTGTAGTTCTGATCTTTGAGAACAGCCAGATTATCTAGGGGACCCCCAGATGCAGTGGTGGGCTGGTGGGAGGCCAAGTCTACGTGGGCATGGCAGCAGGGTGGCGGGTGGAGATACACAACCCAGACAATGCATCTGTGTGGAAATGTTTTATTATAATAGAGGTGAAGAGGCAGAAAGACAGAAAGAGGAAGGGGGGAGAAAAAGAGAGAGGGGGAGAGAGAGGGTTTGCGAGGTGCACACCTCATACCTCGTGGGACGAAAGCAGAAGAAGAGAGAGAGAAAATGGGCAGAGCTTTCCCTTAAGAATAGGCTTTTATGTCAGAACATAGAGTGGCACCAAAGGGCAGGATCAGAATATTAACATCATCCCTTGATGGACAGCTCTGATAAATGAGATAACCCAAGGGCACAGAGCATATAATGGAATATAGTCAATCTTCAGTAAATGCTGCCTGCTATATAACGATAGCAAAACCAGTATGACAACAATCGTAAGCACGGCTGTGACAGTTCAGTACTTCTGCCCTCAAAATCCCTTCCTCACTTCTGAGCCTGTAAGTACATAACCCTTGTTCCCCTTCCTAGGCTCATTCCCTGCAACTGAATATATGTCCTATTTTTCTGCTCGTTTAAAAAATTAAAACAGGGCAGAGAAGATGGCTCAGTGAGTGAGGCCACTTGCTGGCAACCCTGACCACCTGGACCGGATCCCTGGGATCCCAGGGCAGAAGGAGAGAACTGACTTCCCCAGGTTGTCCTTGGTTGCCTCCCTGAGGCTGAAGTCCTTGTTGCTGAACACAACACATACTTGAGACTTGTCAGGACTTGGAAAACCCGAGCTGGCTCTGACCTGGAAACCCCTTCCCTGAGGTCTAGTGTTATCATTTTGGGAGTCTCTTAGACTACCCAGACCAACAACATGAAATGAGGTTTCCCATGCCGAGTCCTGTGGGTTTTGTCCAATAGTCTATGGTTCTAGTGCGGATCTTGGTCCGCTTCCCACAAAATGTTTCCCGTTTTCAGCGATTCTCTTCCCTAAGTCACAGTCTAGGGAAATGAAAGTTCAAGAAAGAAAACGGAAAACGCTTCAGTGCGGTTCCGAACGAATACAAAAAAAAAAAAAAAAAATATTCCTTTCCTGACAGGACAATGAGTTCCAAGTCTTCCCATTGGAGGCTTCAAAACAAAACAGAAGTTGGTTTGGCTTAATTTTTTTAAAGATCAGAATTCTGTTGTCCTGCAAACTGCCAGCTCTCTGAGGGTAGGGTAGGGAGGAGGTGGCTTCTGACTGACCGTCTATTACAGGACCACTCTCCAGCAAGGGCGATCTCAATTCCGTGATCCCTGATGCTCCCCCGCCTAGTCTGGCTCTGTGGACCCGCCTCCCGCCCCGCCTCCCGCCCCGCCCCCTCGCTCTCCCCCCCCCGCACCGCGCGGCACGTGGGCTGTCCCGTGACGTCATGACGCGGCGCGGCCCAATCAGCTGCGACGTCCAGGACATTTTAAACTTGAAGGCGGGGCGGGTCCTGGAGCTTGGTGGGCGCCATTGGGCTTCTGCGTTTTCCTGGGCTGCAGCGGGCGGGATGGCGGAGGAGGCGGCGGTGGCGGTGTGCGTGCGGGTGCGGCCGCTCAACAGCAGGTA